CCCTGCACTAATAAACTTCTGCCCCGAGGGCTTGTACAAGTCCCTGCCAGGTAAGAGCCACCTCTTGCTCCTGCTTGCCCAAATGCCTGCCTTTTGCTGCCAGTCTTTCCCTTGCCGCCATTTATTCCTGTTTCCCCAAATAATCATACATACCTATGTAGAAAACAAGGATATTATATACACAAGTACAACATACACAAAAACATACATAAAAATTAAACAAACCCCACTGAACAAAGGCTATGGTAGTTCAGAAAAAAAAATCTGTTCTTTGCACTTTTTTTAATCCTCTACCTTGCCATTATGCTTTACCAAGCAAGGTCTAAAGTGCCACTTTAGCCATATTCATAGCTACAGCATTGTGAAAGTAGATAGCCAATAGTTGTGTTCGACTTATAAACATCATAAATATTTATGTTTTTACATTAGAACAGATGAAACCGGGTAATTCTGCTGTGAAAGCTGACCATAACTATCACAACTCATTATAAAAATGCAGGCTTTAGATTATTTTTCTTCCAGCTACATTTTGATGGCTACGTTAATAGCATTTCTGTTTTACTTCTGTATGGTCCAACTACCATTGAAACAAAACCGTCTGAATTGCAGGACAGGGTTAGAGCTGGCTGCTAACACAAGCAGGGCAAGGATGCTAATATATCTTTTTTTATCACCCTTTTCCAGTTTGTGGAAAACCCAAAGTTCTTAGGTGCTACTGAAGATTTGTGTTTATGTTCTTCCAGGTTCCTGGAAAGCTGTCCTGAAATTCAGACTAAGAAGGCAGTGTTGAATAGCTTCAAACACAAATTCATCCTATTTTTAATTATTCTTCCAATCCACTGGAGATGGAGGACACAGTAAAAGGTGTTAATAGTCCTTCCACTCCATTTTCGCATCTGTGGCTATCTCCAGAAAGCCTGCTTCCCAGGCAGCCAGCTCATTAAAATCAAGATGACTAAATGCAAACAGATGTGGAGCTATTACTGATGGTATCTAAGCCCCAGCACGCGTCACCAACTGACACAGACCTGCATGCTTCACAGAAACAACCTTATTATGGACTTGGAACGTGTTTACACCTTTTTTTGGGTAATAGTTTTTTCTTTAAAATCCACGGAGCTATGTAATAGTATGAAGAATAGAAAACATATTTTTGGTAATCCCTTTATTCCCAGTCATCTTCAAATTATAGCTTTAACTATGCAATATTCAGTATTCTTTACACACAAGGCAGCTCATGTTCCTAGGCGTATTCCTTGACTGGTGGTAACCACAATTACCTGTAAAAAAGGATTATTTCATCATGTCTTCAACACAGATGAGCACAAGAGAAATAACTATTATCAGGCAGTTTGACTTCCGTTCTTCCTAGTATCTCCTATTACATTTCAAATTACTGGTGATGAGAATCCACGTGTATTTCCATGTTTAAATAAAACATTTGAAAAGGAAAATTTCAGTGCTCCTGTGACGTAACTGGATGCCTGAAGGTTCCCCCACAAACTTCTAATATGTATCAACCAGGATTTGCAGCCAAACTGACATGTAACTGCCACAGAAACAAAGCAGAATTTAAAGTCTTCCTTTGCATCCCAATTATTTTATTGCTTTCTACACTTCTGATGATAAAGAGGAAGAAAATAAAACGACTAACTCTTATTAAACACACCACCAATTTCTCTTCTGAGTTGATTTCCAACCTTAAAGAGTTGCCTTCACTTAGTTTAAAAAAAGGTACCAATAATATATTTTATTCACACAGCAAACAATTTGCTGACGGTGGTAGAAGCATCTCAAGAAAAAAAGATAACTCAGGAAAGTTAGTTCTCTGTTTGCAGGGTGAAAGAGAACACTTGAAATCAGCCACACAACTACCCTTCATATTAGTAACAGTGGGTGGACAGTAAGAGAAAATAATACATTAAAAAAACCCAAACAAAACTCTACCCCTAACCACTAAGGATTTGTTGCTCTTTTCCTTTGGCCTAAGAGATTGGAAAAAAAAATGAATACAGAGTAGAAAGGGGCCATTTGGTTTGACGCCTTCTTTGTCATACCTTGTATAATAGAAGCATTAGACTTTCACCGCAAGAGGATGCTCATTGCCTACATGGCCTCTGTGTCATGTACAAGAGCTCTGTGTGGTGCCAGTTCCAGGGGACCTATAACCTACAGAGGTTGGGACAACTCACATCACTCCTACTCCTGTTTAAAAACTCTTCAAGGAGACATCTTTCTGTCCAGTAACCTCCAGAGAAAATTTAGAAGTGAAGGTATGAATACTGCCTCCCCCTTGCCCCTCATTTCTGATCATCACACGGGACCAACAATAGCATCTCCTAAAACAAAACACCCAGTTTGAAGATATGAGACAACCTGCCCTAACAGTTTCCTGCTAGTTTGTTCCAGTAAAAAAACCAAACCAAAACAAAACAAACCCAGAATCACCACATTTCCAATTTATCTAGCCTTTATTTCCAACATAAAACTTTATTATAACTTTCTCTGATGTGCTGGAAATCTGTTTAGTGCTCCTTATTCTTTTCTTGCAAAGGCATTTTTGTGTTTGATCAAAAAGACAATGAAAAGATGGTGTTAACAGATGGACTGAAGTACAGCCTGAGCTTTGTCTGCTCCCTGTTAGAAAGCTATTTTTTCCTTCCTTAATGTGATTTCCTGAGTTCTTTTTGTCTTTTCAATACCATTTTACAAGGTGGACTCAATGGTGATTCAGTGCAGGTATGACATCTCCCCATGTAACTCATCACTCCAAGAACAGGTATTATGGGTCACTTGTCTGGCTGTCCAGACTAAGGGTCCTTTCACACAATTTCTTTCCTCCTCTTTTGCCTATTCGTCTCCCAGCATCATGAAGCCCTCTCCTCCCTTAACTTCAATTTCCCCTTCAGGGTGAATTTCAAAAGGTACAATCAATAGAATGATGCTCAACTCCCAAAACAGCCTTTGTGCTGCTGAAAAGCCTTTTAAATCATATCCATTTCCCTGTTTTCTGTCATCTCTGGCATGCAGTGCCATCTTCATGGCCAAAATACCCCAACAATAACCATGCTAGGAAGATTTGCCATCTACCTTTGCATCTCTTCTGCAGCCCGCGTGGCCCTCCAAAGACGTTATGCACAAAACCACTCAGGGCAAGCTGGCACGGGGCTTGCAAGGTCTCCAACTGACTGCCCCTCTTCCAAGCAACAAGGAATGACGTGAAATTAAGAGCAGAGAATCCCAACCTCTCTGAGCTCTTGGTAAGTTATCTCTAAAAGACTTCAGTAGGCCATGTTAATTCCCTGGAACAACTGCCATGTTCTAGAAAGAAATAAACCCTCTAAAGTCAGCATATTAAGACAGGGACGTTCCTGTTCCTCTCTCAGCGATATTCTGCCATCTCCACAGGCTTTTAAACAGAGACACCAAGACTGCAGAAGGTAAAATTAACCCTATATTGATGTTAACAGGTGATTTAAATAAGCAAAATAACCACTCTCTTTTCCAGAGTTATAAGTGGCAAAACACCCCCATCAAATACTTCAAACTACTGCAGGAATCTCGGGGAAAAGACATCAAGCTGCAAAAAGCACATCAAAAGACAGTAAGAAGTGACTTAACAGAACAAAATCTGTGCCCTCACCATCACTTTCTTCAATTTGTGTTTACTAGCACCTCCTTTGACTTATTTTGTGAGAATTAATAGGGTCTTAAGTAGATGTTGCTGTTACTCCAGAAGTGGTTTATACTAGTTAAACCATCACTACGCAAATGGATTATTTACTCTCCAGTGTTTGTTCATCTATGGCAAGTAAGAATTGACATAGAATTTCTTAATAAATTTGAGCAAATGCTTTTCCCTGTGAAGTCAGTGACCTTACTAACTCTGAAACCAGCCAGGTACCAAAGCAGACGCATTAGTGTGGTTCCTGCTTTGGCACATCTCACCTCATGAATAACTACAGAGCTACCACTGCTCCATACAAGTTTTTTTTTCCTTCAACATGCCAAAAAGGCAATGGTTTACTATCCAGATCCAGTTATCTGGTTATTGGTTTTAAGGGATTACAAAGCAGTCCCTCACTGGTTTTTTGTTTTTTTTTTTTTTCTTTTTTTTTTTTAACTATTTGTTTGCTTTTAAAATTAATTTATTTTCCTCTATTTTAGCTCAATTTCCAGTCTTCCAAAAAAATTGAATCCAGCAAAAATTATTAGTCAAAGAATCATCCAACCATAAGGAGGAGGAAGAATAATTCTGGAAACCCAGGCCAGGGTGGGACAGAATAGTAAACTAGGATTCTGGATACATCTTCATTCATTTTTGTGCCTGCCTCCATATCATCAGTCTGCCGTGAAAACAAGCACTGAACACAGACACAAATGCATGTCGCAATGTTTTTTTCCTGCTACTAAGAGTGGATGAATGGGGGCTTTTCCAATTTCCATTTTGTTGTAGTTTACTTTCACAGCATTTCTGAAGATGGTATTTTCATGAGGCAGAGAGCCTCAAGGATTCCCAGTACAACCAAGGGTCAGAAACACATTCAGCTGTTCCCTATCTCAGCGCAGTACTCACTCCGCTTCCACTAAAGCAAAGTGGAACTACTACCAAGCCACCAGCCCAGCCACTGTTCTGCCTACGGAAGATTAATATTAAACATCAAAAAGAAGAAAACTTTAGGAATAGTTACAACTTAAGTTGAGCAACATATGGTTAATGGTATGAGTATCGCTGTATATTGCTGTTAATAAGCAGTTTGCAATTTAAAAATATATATATATTTATGTGTATATATATTGCAGCCCATATATATGCCTTAAGATTATTCCAAAAGACAACTTTTAAAAAAATCCCATTTAGTACTTAATGAAAAGAGATGGACATTTATAGGAAGCATCTATCTGAAGTAATTTTTGTCTATGTCCTCCTCCAAATCTGAGTTCTGCAAAGGCTTTCAGACACATAGCAAAAGGTATGTTCTTCAAGGAGTGCCACTTACTCCACATGTCTCATTCTGTGTTTGCATGGGATTAGCCTTTGGCTCCATGTCTTGCCTTTTTTGGTTCTGCTTCAGTTGGTTTAAAGAAGGTTTTGTCTGTGCAGCTCCAACAGTTTTGCTTGTCCACTGGTCAACCAGCTTGTGAAGATCATCTGTGAACGTCCCTTTCTTGTTGTTACTGTTGTTGGCCTGAACCTGCAGGGTTGATTGCGGGAGCGGCTCAGGACACATTACAAGACTGTTTGTTGAGGATCCTGGAAAATCACACACAAAGATAGTTGACGATGGCATCTCTACTTCACCACTTTGCTGCTCAAACAGTTTCTCATCGACTACAATTCAAATGGTGGCTTTTCAGACTTTTAACCCTCCCCCTCCTTTCTACAGAACACCTTTGCTTAAAGAAATGGTCCAAGTCCAATGCATTCATATTTTCTATCACATTATGTTACCTCAGCCACTAGCTGTTGTGCCTACAACTTCTCTCTAGGTGAAATTAATGACTCGGAGAAAAGAAACTAATGCAGTCCCAGTAACACTGACATCCTAAGGCTTACGAAGTCTCTTCAGAGGAGACTACCATAAGAGAGTGGGAGGCAGGATGTATTACTTGCTAAAACTGCATGCATTTAAAAAATTAATTTATCATTTATTTTACTTGCATAAGTTTATTGTCCTCCTGGAAAAACATAATTGTCATATAGGTTACAAGTAGGGTTGGCTCCTACACCTCAAAGGCTCCAGGAACCCACAATCTCTCTCGACAATGTTAGGACCATTTACTCTGCCATCTGCATATTTTTGGGGGAAAAAAAAAAAAACATCAGGACCATGAATGTACAGAAGAAAGAGGAGAGAGGAGGACATAGTGGGTATGTGAGTTTTTGAGACAAGATAAAGATACAGAACTTTTGGTATAGATAAAAGCAGACAGGAACAATATTGACAGAGACATAATTTTATGTGTTCACTTATTTCTAGACGAACTAGGGGGGAAAAAAATGTGTCCTTTTTATGTGTTGGTAACTACAAGTCTGATACAGCAAGATCAGCAGGGAACAGCAACTGAAGGTGCCTGAATTTGACCTAAGCAGAAAATAGAAAGTAATTTTTCAGCTAACATATTTGATACAGCTAAAGATTTGAAATAAAGACCATCTCTCCAAGCAAAAAGTTCATAGAACTGTAGTAAAATTATTATATAAGCAAACATGAACATTCAGTCTTCTTTTTTCTGTTAATCAGTTACCAGCCAATGAAACAGAGTAAACTAATTAGTCCTATGGTTATATAAAATACATGAATAAGCTTTAAATGATCATGCATTCAACCTGCAACATAACTTCTAAGTGAATACTGTTCATTTCCTTTTCCTTTGCTTGGGGAAAGGACCAGTGAGAAAAATAAGTATTTTGACAGGAAAGCTCTTCAATTAGTGTTTAATATTTCATGCAGCTCAACAGGAACAAGACTGTTTTAAGCTATAAATTCCTCCAGAAGAGAACTGCAGTCATATAAAGGTGTGTATTTCAGAAAGACAAACACTGAAACCAGTTTTCTCGCCGCATGCGTGCACAGTGTTACACACAAAGAATACCACAACTGTCTTGCAGCATGCGTGGTTCCCAAGACATCACGGCACATGCATTATTATGAAAGTATCACAATTTATACAGTCTAATTTCATATCGGTATAAGTGCATCAGCTCTATTTATTAAACAACTCGCTTTTACTAAAAAATAATAATAAAAAAAAAACCCAAAAATATCCCATGCCATGAAGGAAATACTGAGAAACAAAAATGGGATAGTTACTACTACTGTGATCTTTGCCTAGACATAGTCGTTTCAAGGTGGACCCTACAAGGTAAAACAATACAAGACATACAGAATTAGGTAAGACTAAACACAACAAATCTGATGGACAAGCTTCTGTACTTTTAAGCAATCAAAAAGTAGTTATTATGCAAGAAAGAACAGACAAAGTCAGCAGTTCAGGTGAGTAAAGGAAGTCTAAATAACTGGACAGCTCAAACCTTTCTTAATGTGCAGCCATTCAGAAGCTTTGAAAAGTACAATAGCATGCCAAAAGCAAGGTCTCATTACTTAAAGATGCATTTGTTTGGGTTTTTTGGTTTGGGTTTTTTTTTGTTTGGCTGTTTTTTTCTTTTGGTTTTTTTTTTTTTTCAACTTGCCTTGGCTTCCTAATAAGAGTTTTTGATTCCTACTCTATTTATGCAGGAAATGATGTCAATTCAGTTTGTGATAGGAGGCCAAAAATGCTTTCAGGAACGAGTCAAGCTAGTCTGGCTGCAAAGACAAACTGTAAAACAACCCTAAAAGTCCTGTTTTACAAGTCCAAAAAGATACATTGTTCTGCAGGTCTGAGGCCAATTGTTTCCAAATACTTTATTAGTAGGATTTGTGTCTAAATGTGAGATTCTGAACTTCAATTGAAAGTAACGATGAATGAGTTTCCCTTATGCCTTGTCCAAGTGCAGAAAAATAATCCAGCAGAGTAGCTGAGTTTTCATTTAACCAAACAACACCTTTTTTTTCATTATTATCTCATTACATCCTTCATCATGATTTTACAAATTCTGTTGTATAGATAATTAGAGTGCCAGAAGTGTATCGAGAATCCTACTTGACTGTCAGATCTTGCCAGACATAGGCACCGTTTCTATTTGAGTGCCAAATTTCCTGAAAGGTATTTTGGACTTGGTAAGAAGAATATCATTATGGTATGGGAGGAGATGAATATCTGACATGGGGCATGGCAAGTTTATTGTGAAGAAGCACTTGAAAACGTGAGCAAAATCAGAGAATGGGGCAAAAAGCAAGATACAGGATGGATGTGCTTTTTCTCTACATCAAACCAGTGTTGATACTTTATATTACTGTGCCAGAAATGCAAGCTTTAAACTCAGAGATTGCAGGTCCAGGTTGACATAGGCTCTGAATGAGTCTTCAAAGGAGAAAGGAGAGATATCAGTCAGAGACTGAGGAAGAGAAAGCAAAGAAAAGAGGGAGTGAAAAAAGGGAGAAGAAATGTTTGTGTTTTGAAATAGGTGGCATGAGGAGGAACAGAAGGATTGCTTTGGAAGATTTTCTTATTATTTCATGTAGTTTAATGAGGTTTCTATTCCAGGAAAATCAGGACATGACTACAGTGATGTCTTATGCAAGCATGACCAAGTTTAGTTTCTCATGTCAAAGCCTAGATAACAAATTAAAGTCACATTCACAACTGAACAATCCATGTTGTATTTTTATTTTTTTCCCCTTTTCCCTCACATATACCTTACCTTGCCTATTTGTTAAAGTTAGCTAGCAACTCCCATTATGTAAACACCAGTGGCAGTAATACTAGAATGCTATTTTCTTAACTATCCTGCAGCATTCTGCATGTAGCAATAGGTAGCAGTTGGCACAATATGTATGCAAATGAAAAGCAACTGCCTGCGAAAAATAAAAGCAGGCAGCTGACTATAGTACATGCTCAAATGCATATAAAAAAGTTTAATCACCAATCCCTCTGCTTCCTGAAAATTGAGTCACAAGTTTATAAGCACCTCGGGTGCCAAATCAAACCTGGGCCCCCATATGTGTGGGGAAGCAACAGAGAACAGTGATACTAGACAGATTCACAAAATAGGCATGTGAAGGGAGCCAACTTTAACGAAAGTATTACAGGAGAGTCAATCACCAATTTCTTCCAAATTGTATCACTCTAGCATGTTGCTTGAGAGATGAGAAACATTATCTAAGTGGTGATATTGCCTGAAGCAGGGACTGACAATCATGGGCTACAAATGGTTTTAAATTCAAATTGAATTAAAAATGCACTTGGTAAACCTAATTCACCAGATTAATCATATTACTTCTAAAATCAAGGTGTTTAATAGCTGTAAAGTTAAGGAGATGAATCATAATTAAGATTGAATCTAAGACGGCAAAAGTTCAGCGAGTGTTTACCTCCAATTTCAGATTTACCTGAGAAATTAAGTAGCTATTATATCATACAGGACAGAAAAAAATCCACTGTCCCGTATTTGCACTCTAACAGCTGCCAAAAAGCTTGAAAGCTAAAATAAAATTGAAATGGCAATAAATTGTTAGACCATTTCCATAATCGCATATGCACATACAATATATTAATTACTACAGACCTGACAAAAATCACCTTATGCAAGATTCCAAGTCTAAGCCAAATGGAGTGTTTGAAAATTCCACTCACAATCAGCACAAAACTCTTCCCTAAGACGCTCTTGCAATTTAACCCAGGGAAGGAGTTCAGGATAAAATTATGCTGAAGCCCATCAAGTATGTTTTATTCCATGAGAAGTGCAAAGGAAAAGTCAATATTGGACATGGGGAACAGATCAAAAAGCTGTTCTGGGAGAACACAGTGAAAGTGTTCAAGTTTGATGGATCTTGTAACCAGGGCAAGATAACTATCTTTAATGCACCTGAACATTTCTTTTTAAAAGCGTGCTGCTAATTTGTCTGCTAATACAGTACTGGAGTATCCAAGCTCCCCAAATGGCTGTTTTTCCTTAATCAAATGTATAGATTCAGAGCATTTCCTAAAATCCACCAAAACTTTTCCCAACAGCTCTCAAACAAACAAAAAATCCCAGGGAAACCTCAACTTGTGGAACAGACCCAGGACCCTGAACTGCCCAGACACACCACTGAGGCTGCCTGCACTGGACAGCCACATCCCAGCCTCATACGCCTAGCACTCGCTCACCACCTGTCTTCAACACTTACTCTCCTTGCCCAAGCTTGCAGCAAAGATGCAAACATGCTTAGCACCTAGTCCAAACGCTAGGCTCTGCCTACATGCTGGGTCAACCTATGTCTGTTCCAGAAGGGAAGGAGCACGAGCCAGCTGGCATTCCCATCATGATCATCATCATCTAGCACTATTTTTCCTGAAGCCCATGGTCACGGCTGCTCTGGATACCAGCTTGATGGAACCACCAGCTGTATGTCCTTCCAGCAGCAGTCCCAGCCCCAGCTGCGCTTGGGGCCACACACAGCCCCGTCTTCATCCCTTCACACACACACACTACCAACCTGTTGGACTCACTAGGAAAACAAGCTAAAATAACGTCCTATCCCCATCAAACTACTGGTAGGTTTCAGCTGTGGAAAATTGTCCAGCAACTCAAGTGACAGGCAGTATTTGAAACTAAGCTCTGCTTTCTGAGCTGTGGTGACTTTGGATGGATGTGTCAGGGTTAAGTGCCTGAAACTCTCCTCATATGACTCAGAAAGCTCCTCTCCAAACACTTCACCCAGAAGAAACTGAGAAGAGAGCATATGGGCTGAGAACAGAAAGCAATTAGTCATGCTGAGTTATTTAAGCATTGGGAACTTCAGGATTTACATATTCCCTTTCATTCACAATATCCATGCACACAAACATTTTTAATATGCTGGTTTTTAATGGCCATCTCTCAGTCTTTTTGCATTCTACTGAATAGTAATTCTGTGAAAGGTTAATGGAAACGACTACTGGGAATTACATGTGCAGAAGAAGAAACTACTATGTCCATGATAATACCAAATGGGAAAATCTGTGAACTGAGAATTCCCCTCAGGTTCTCAGAAAAAATCCCTGAATGCAAAATGGTCTCATGACTTCAATAGTTGTTAAAAACTTGTATGATAATAAATTCAGTATGCTGAGCCGTAAACATCAGTTTTCAAGAACCTGAGTGCTTGGACTTTTAGGGACCTCAAACAAAAAAAAATCAATATTTTTTTTTTAAATATTGTTTATTCATAAAATTAGGAGGAGTGTATTTGAGTGGTCTTGTGCCTTTGATCTGTACCACTTGGATAATGATGAGCAATGTAGAACTCCAATGGGAGATCTGATATTAATGCAAATGAACAGTTAGTTAACCAAACATTTTCTCAAGAACATTATTAGCCTTTCTAATGTTATATGTAAGTGGCCTATACCTGTTCAGCACAACATATCTTTATTGTACAAGCAAAATCTGTTTGCCTAAAAAGCAGCATATATGATTGGGTAAAAAGGTCTTAATTTTTTAATTAAATAGCTTGATGTCATTTGGTTGAATTGCCAATTAATTTAGAAGTCATACAAATAGGGTACAAATAGCAGGTGCACAATTATTTGAAACAAAAAGTACTGGATCCTAGCAATCCATTTCAAAGTATCATCTGAAAATCTGATATTGCATTTTACTTATTTATGATTTGATGAACTGCTAATTGACTTCATCTCTGAGGTCACATAAGGTCATAAGAAAATAAACTGAGTAAAGTGCTTCAGCCAGATCAGCTTACACAAAAAAAGTTGATGGTACTCTCCCTTGGAGTAACCAGATCTTCCTGCTGCTTATGAGTACGTAAAAAATTGCTCACTTAAAGTAATTAAAGTGAATGCATGGGGAAAAGCCCACCTAGAAAACAGATTTTGAAAGAACTAGCTGGAGCACTATTGTCTCAGCATTTCCACATGCAAAGAGCGGGAACAAAAATTAAAGAAAATAGAGTGGATATAAACAGTACTGTATATTGTGTTAATACAGCCCTTGTATGGAAGTTATACCCTTCAGTGACCTTCTAGTATTGTATCAGCTTGCTACATGCATGTCTTCATAGTCCAAACATGTGTGAAAGAGACCATTCGTCTACAGAAGGATGGATTTCGTTTTGTTGTCGCTGGAACCGGGACAGCAGACATGTATATTTGCCACATTGCAAATAAAATTACTTCAACATAAATCACATAAAGTACAAAAGCTTTGATAAGTCCAGGGTAAAATTTACCATAAGGCTATATAATAAATGATGAGATCTTCCACACATGCTTTTGGTGCCCAGGCACGAGCCAAAAGCAGTGCAAAAAAAGCTTTCATATGAAAAATTAATATAAATAAGGTGTGTTCATGATGATTACTTAAAAGAAAGATAAAAAGAAAGAAAAGATGGTTCAGAAAAAGGGGCATCCTGCCAAACATACTAGAGATATAAAACATGGAATTGGAAAAAGGGGGTAAAAGAAAGATGGACTGATAAAATACAAAAGAACAAATACAAACAGATGGACAAAGACACAGGTCCACTGAGGAATCTGGTACGAGGTTTGCTACTAGATTTATAGGTCACTCTCTCAGACGTTTGGTGGAAAACCGTCCAGCCTGCAAATGAATATAAAGGGAAGAAAACAAAGACACTTATAAAGTACAAGTAGCTGTGATAGATGTCCTATACCATCAGTCAAATCAGCTTTGTTAGTTAAACATCCACATCTCCATTTTAACTTTGCCAAAGAGGAGTAAGTAAATTGACCATACACAAAGGATGCAATAACAGCAGAGGAGAACAGATAGATATTTTGTAGATTAGTTTGGCAGGATGTGCAATGAGAGGAAGGTATTTTAACCATCATTATAACTTCCAATATGCATGGCAACAAGATCAGTCAAAGCCTATGGAGGTGTGCAATACACAGAAATATCAGAGGTCGGGACTGGGGAGCGCAGCCAATCTACAGTCATTTAGCTGGGACTCCAAAATCATGCACAGACTTAATCTCTTAGATAAAGGAAACATAACTTGGTTCTCTGGTTTTGGTTTTCTTTTTTTTTTTTTTCTTTTCCTCTTTTTTTTTCCCCCTCACACCCAAGATGATTTGATAGTTTATAATGAGGAACTCTGGCTCGACCAGTATCAAGGGGCTAAAAAAGCCCCAAATGAACCAAGGGAAACAATCTCCTATCCTTCTATATCTTTTTTGTTTTCCTTTCTTTTTACTCAGAAATCTGTAAGGCAGACTCCAGAAAAGGTGTCAGTATAAAGCCACTGCTAGCAAAAATAAAGGTATTTCCTTCTAAAAATTAGCATGCCTTCTTGAGTGCCGACCATTAACACTTAGTAAGATACTTTACTTTTGTTATTCTGACAATATTGCAACAATCTTTTTAAAGATAAGCCAGTAATTTGGATTGTCAAAGGTCCATGTTCCTATATCACTAGAAGTGAAATCCACTCCTAAAAAGTTCAAGCATAAGGGAAGCAAACTAATTTTAGCATGTGCTGGAAGACATGCTGAACAGCTGGTATGAAAAAAATCACCTTGGCCAGAGCTTGTGTTCACATCACCTCCTTCAGGGCCTAAGCCGGAGCAGATGTCAGAAGACAAAGAGGCTTTGACAGAGCATGGCTGCTGTGTCTGAACAGCCTTCCCAAAGGTGGCTGATGCAGGGGAAGTTACTGCTGCTGCTTCCGGAGATTCAGGCCGAGTTTTAGTTGGTTCTTTGTGGGGTGAGTCTTTAGAGTCTGAAAGATTACCTGAAAGAGCAAACAAACAAAATACATGCAACAGCAAATGCTAGAAAACCACTGAATAAAAATACATGCCTAAAAATAATAGTTACTTTGCAACCAAGAGGAACGGCAGTTTACAATTCTGAAGCACAGACTTTATGGATAGCCTGCACCAGAAAACAATCTACACATACTATCGCTGATCCAGTTTCTCCAAGAAGCTTATAGAGTAGGTTTGATTTTTACAGTTTCTTTTCTGCATTTTTCAGAAAGGCTGGAGTCAGGACCTCACAAGGAGCACTGCTGAAATAAAGTGAGAGCTGCAGAAGTGCCTAAGTAGGAGGATGAACGCACAGAATGACTGAGCAGAATGTGTAGGTTTGCTCTCAAACATGAAAGGTAAAAGCAAGCAAATAGAGAGAAATAAAAAGTTGCTGCAAAGACATGAGGAACTTTTTATTTACAGCTATCTACATATAGATAGATACATGTCTATATGTAAATATCAGTATCTATATATCTAGCTACATGGATATCTCAGGTAAAGAGGCTTTACCACCAGAATACCTTTGTAATCATTTGTTACATGGATTTATCAGCAAAAGCACCTAACAGTGGAAATGGCAATTAGATCAGTGACCGTATGAGAAACTGCCTGCCCTTGATCTCTGAGAAAGAACCTAGGAAGGCCAAAAAATGAGGAATCTACATAGCCAAGGATGAGAAGACTCAGGCATGAATACAGATTCTCAAAGATAATGTGAACTTTACATGGTGCCTCAAAAAGAAAAAATGCATGAGGAAAAGCATGCACCAAAGCAGCAGTCTGACTGAGCAGATTTCCATTCTCTAACTGAAGGCGACAAGGAAAAAAAAAGAAGAATTGGGACATTTTATGCAGCAACAAGCTTAAATTCTTCAGACTAGGGTAGCACACTGATATGAACCAAGATCCACAACTGGAGACAGATGTGGGTTTTGTGAATATGCAGAGGGAAAAAAGGCTAGAGAGAATCCAAGAACAAACTGGAAAATGAATGGACCAAGGTTAACAGACATTCAGAGTAATTCATCACAAGGAAAGGAAGTAAAATCTATGCACATCAGCTAAGCAGCAGATAAAGAGATATAAAGTACTGAACATTGCTTCAGTTCCTGTAGGCAAGAATACTGAGATTCAAGATGGATCACAGAACATCTTGCCTCTGAATAGCTTTGCTTTTCCTATCTCAGTTGAAATCCCTTAATTAAAAGCAAAAACCTCCAAAACACTCTCTCTATAAATAAGATTGATGTAATGAAATTTGAAGCTGACCTATGATGCAGTGACTTTGAAAACAAGAGCTGCTGGGTTTGAAATACAGGGTTAATGCTGGAAATGCTGCTGCTCCTCTAAATAACAGCAAGAACTAAGTTGAAGAAAAATTATTCATATGCTATTCTGCATTTTGCTGAAGAAATAGGTAGTGGGGTATATCAACATTTCCCAGTTGAATTATACCTTTATACTTTCCAAAGACATAATGACTCAAGACTGTACTATTGTTCAAAAAATCACAAACTACTGCAGATGGTGAAAGCATCCATCACAGTTTTATAACTGCTTTTACCTCCCATCCTTTGGGGGAGCAAATGCAATCCAATCTTATTTATACGGCATCTCATAGGAGAAAATAAACAACAACAAGATACAGCATATAATCAATAGAGGATAACAGCACCTAAGAAGTGAAAATAAACATCAATAAATTGTATTTGAAAAAAGGATGAGAAAATGTAACCAGGCTGTATTCCAAATTAAAGCAGAATATTGTTTCTCTGCCAAGCATTGTAACCAATGCAGAGAAGGTGTGTATGGTTCAGCACCAGGCAGCTGTTATAAGCCTGTACCAAAGGAAGCCCACTTCAAAGTTTGCAGTATGCAAACTTGAGTCACAGTACTAAAAATAAAAATTCACTGCCTTTCCTGCAGTCCATGCAATTACACCACAGAACCACAACTGACACAAACAACAGGCATATGGAAAGCAACCTAGTGTACTTACTTGTGCTTGATGTTCCACTCCTGAGCTGCTGGACCAGAGGGTTTAATAGTTTTCCACCTTTCAATTTATTTTTGCTGGTTCTTCGGCGACGGCTGCTTGGAGGGGCTGAGTGAAGGAACCCCAGGTTGGGAGGAAGGGGTTTCCCTAACCGAATATACAGTGCCTCTATCTCATTCTTCTGCTGAGTCTGAAGTTCAGCAATTTCTTTCATATGCCTAAACATAAAAAATAAAGAACTCTGCTAGTGATGTATTTGATAAAGCACCACATCTTGACAGCATAATTGGTTATAAAAAAAGAAACAAAACAGTCTTTGGTTATAAAACAATCAACTGCTCATCGAAAAGTATGTGCAATTTTAACAATCTACCTGCCAAATGTGGTGACTGACTTCTCAAATACTCATTTATGAGACAGAATTCTAGACAGCTAAAAAGATTTTCAACATCCTCAGTAAAAACAACTGATTTTGACATGAGATCTGACAGGAACTCCAAACTACTCCAGCATTTCTCTCTTCAAACTTATGGCTGCAAAAAAGTTAACTCCCAAGGCATGTACATCAGTTTGAAGGAGTTCAACGTGAAGAAAAAAAAAGTGCTTCCCATAAAAATGCCATTAGCACATGAATCATTACTTTATTTATAATGCAGATTTCATGATGCCAAAAAGTCAGTTTAAAGGTTTTGTATTACTGTAGTTCTGTTTTGAAAAGATGCATCATCTGTATTCAGTAAAACCATTATACCTTAAGATCAAATTTAACATTCTGGTTAAACTAACATCTAATGCTAGTTTTTACCCATCACCTGCCAGGAAAGAAAGAAAATTATCAAATTTAAAGAAGCTAGCTCTCAGGACTGGCAGCACCAGAGACTCCTGCCAGGCTCACCCAGCCTCCTGCCGAGACCGGACCGATGACTTGATGAGAGATCCAATGGTAGGCAAAGTGAGGGTCTTACCTGCCTAATAGATACGAGGTTATCTGCTGTAAAAATTACTCTGGAAATAGTGATGGGTCTATAGACCTGATAGTCTAAATCACCCTTGCAGAGAAGGGCATGAAGAGAACACTATGGCAGCTGTCTATGCAGGCATCTAGATTATTTTTATGTGGCCTTAAATAGCATCTGCATGGAAAACTACTATCACATACGTTACAAGTGCTATTGTTTGTTAACATATCAATGTAGCTTTTCAGTAAGGAAACTGGATATCACAGCAGAAATATTTTGGGGTTTAAGAAAGTTATTATTGAATATTCTTCTAAATGGAATTGACAAATAAAGTGATGCAGAAAAGGATGCAGTATGACATTTGGGGGAAGGTCGTAGCAATGCCTAATTTGCCCAGAACCAGTCTACTCATTACAGCTACAAAAACCATGTATTTGCTCATCATATGCAGAGATGCTGCCTAGGTATCTTAACACAAGCTTCCCTAGCATTGTTTGCAAACCCGACATACTTTTCTCTCAGGTTCTGCAATTCTTTCTTCATATCTGCGTCTTCAAATTCCGAGTCATTGTCGCTGCTCATGTATGACGACTGTGAGTGGAAAGATGTTATGTTGATGGTAGGAATTTTTGTTCCTTGCCCGTTAGGTGAATCGAGGCCTGGCGAACTAGCTTTGCCAGATCTTTGCAGAAAAGCAGCTGCTTTTTTAATTAAGTCAGTGGCTGCACTACTGCTTGGGGGGGACAGTTGGGCAGCAGCAGCTGACTGACAATGGAAAGGCTCATCAGCAGAATCACTCGAACCCTGGTCACAGAGGACATCGACAGAAGAAGCTGTCTGCACCCGTCGGACAGCTGTCTTCAGATCAGGGCTGGAAGGTAGCTCATCCAAATAGACATCCGGGGGTGCCGAGAACCTTAAGGAGTGCGGCGCTGTTAAAGTTAATTCATCTTGCGTGCTGATTACTGAAAACCTGCCAATAGTTTTGGCTGGTGTACCGCTGTCATGAGTTTCAGCCTGTTTTCCATAGGAACCAGAGTCTAGAGAGTCATCCCTTTGAAGGTTATTTATCACCCCATCTGCTGTAGATATCTGTGTTACATTATCTGTGTGTGCAGACAAAGTCATAGTCTTTGCCTTCTCGCTTCTTTTAGAATTTTCCATCTGTTTAGTTATGCTTGATGATGTAGGTGCAACCTGGAGAAAATAATGGAAATTAATTTTGAAAGTAACTGTAACAATCAAGCATAAAACTGCTCCTAGTTTCTAGTTACCTGAAGGAGGCCTTTTGTTGTAGCAACAGGAGCTGAAGTGATGCTTGCAGCTGAACCTGTTTTACAAGTTTGGAAAAAAAAACCATACATTCAAGTCTGGAATGCTTTAGTATAGTAAAAGCCAAGGTGTTTACTGTGATAAACTGAAGTGTGATGAAGTGTAGCACTGAAGAATAACTTAAATATCCAATCTTTGTAATACAGGATCTATAATGCAGGAGGCAATATCGATGACAATATAAAATATTTGCAGGTAGGCACTCTTCAACATTGATTTGGGGAATTCAAATAATAATAGGAGTGTGGAATTTCATTACTCAGTTGAAAATTTTTAAGGAGAAAACCAGAATAATAATGAAACCTGTATGGTACATTGGGCCTGCATTACTAATGTGTTCTTGATGTCTCAAAAAAGTAATTGCACTCAGCTATTCACGCATACAAAATGCGGCAGTTGACCACAGATGGACCGGTATTTCACATCTTTCATTTGACAGATACTGACACCAACAACTAAAAGTGCCTGAAATGAAGTTAAACACACATTGCTGAAAGTGGAAGTTATAAGCTCAAAAGATAGCCACTCAGACCACAGAAGCACGTAAGAAGCAAAATATTAGTGGCAGTAATCAAGACGTGATTATTTCACAACCCAGACACTGGTTTTGAAGTTAAACCAATAAATGCAAGCTTTTCAGAAAGCTGCTTTCTTATGGCACATTGCACAAAGTGAACATAAGGCAAAAATATGTCATTTCATAGTTCTGAAATGGTGAAATACATCACTGCTTGATGGTATCTAAGATAAACTAATTTTACTACACAGTGCTGCATTCCCCTTGCATACTCTCTTCTTTGTCTGTAGTAAGACAGGTGAATGCAGGCTACCCAAAATTTTCCCCTCTCACACTGACCTAGAAGCAGTGGATGATCTACATCCACCAGGACAAGAATGATCTATGTTGTTACACAAACCTGGTAGCCAGCTTTGCCACGACAATCTCAAAAAATATATATTATAAGCCCTCCCTAACCCCACCCATGACAGCAGGAGCAGTTTTGGGTTCCTCAGCTCTTAAAACTTCCCATGACTTGCAAGACAGGTAAATGGAGCATGATAAATACCCAGTTTCTTACTATGGCTCCTACTATATTATTATAGAAAGTGCCATTGTATCTACAAGTACCTAAAGAAAAGTACTCTTTACTAGTTCTCTGTGGGACTTCCTTGAAAATCTTACAGGCTTCCCCCCAGAGGGGCTACCCACAATCATGTTATTTTTGTCGACACATTTTTTATGAAACCAAGGAAATCCAAGGGACTTTCTGTTTGCACTTTTTAAGGGCACTGGAAATTTATTACTGTGAATGTAGCCTTCCATGTGAATACCCTATACCTACACCACAGACATGTATTACATATTTATGGTTTAAAATAAATCCACCCGTGAGTTTCTTTCTAGGAAGCATGACAGAAGTGAGATGTTTAATATTAGTTATATTACAAATAGGATCAGAAATGCCTTGTGCTGGGTAGTGCTCTGCAGTTAACCGGAAGGGTGAGCAGCAAGGGGACACCAGAGAAGAGGACCACACACTAGTACAGATCAGCCATTCATCACTGAAAGGAACATTACCTTTCCTGCTTGCTGACCCACCTCTTGCTTCTGAGGAATGAGCACTGATACCGGTGACCTCCGACTTTTCAAACTTTCAGTAAAGAGAAAAAAGAAGAATTTCAGTCTCACATACGAAGCAGAAAGGCAATCCATTCTCCTTCCCTCTCTCTCCCTCTCTGCCCTCACTCTATTGTGGAATATTAAACTATTTTATAGTGTCTGCAAGGTGGCCTTCTAGCTTTTCCTTCAACTTCTCCATTTTTTTTCCTCCCTTGGAAGAAAAAAAAAGCAGTGGCAGTGTCACAGAGGGAACTGCAGCCAAAGTTACTAAAAAACAGGCACTGAATTATATATATCAGTTTGGGGTTTTGTTCTGGTTTGTTTTTCCAGCCAGACTGTACATTCTTCATCTGTATGTCTGTCTGGAGAAATTCTATGTCTCTCTTTTCTTACTGGCACAGATTTTAATAGGACAAATTCAAATTACTGGAGAGACGTAACACCTTTCATAGAGAGACAATTTTATCTGCTGTAGAAAGTAATTTATCATTATAAACAGTATGCTCTAAAGAGTTACTCAAGTGCAGCCATCTTTCCTGTAACATACAGCATCTTTCAAACAGTTGATACAGTTCATCTGGCTGACACTACATGGAACTCATCCTTGCTAGTGGTGATGTAATTATCTCTGGAAATGCTACTTTTCAAGTAGGATATACACGGATTGTCTAGCAGAAAGTGCTGCAAATCTGTTGAATTTCATAAACTCAGGATTTTATCTGAAAGAACACAACACAGGTGCACAATTGAGACACTGAGTAAATAATGACCCAGACCACCTGCTCCAGCTTTCCTTAAATGCTTCCCAACGAAGTCTTGCTCTGCCAAGTTCAGGGGAAGACAAAAGAAATCATTACCAGAAGCAAGGCAAGCTTCTACCTACAGAGTGTCTTCCTTTAGCTGCAGCACTTGAACAAAGCTACAGCTCCTGAAGTGTTCATTTTATTCAGACTGACTTGGAAGACAGGCATTATAATCACTGCCATTAATTTATCTATAAAATTCCTATTGAAGCATGATCGTCTTCATCAGAACTTGAATGACTATACCCTCGTGTTTTACATTCTTAAACTACAAAAAAAACTACCACATTTCTGCCTGCTTTAGAAACAGGACACAAGAGAAGGAGAATGAGTTAAGATATTATACCACTTTTAAACCCAAAGGAAAAGTTTGGCTTTCACTAACAAGCATTTATGTAAAATGAGTCAGAATGCATCTGACAGTGAAAATTTAAGAGAACTTTCACAATGGAAAGCAGTCAACAGACAAAAGGTAATATACCCAGGAGCAGAAACATAAAATGTTTAGAGAAGCAAGAAATCTATACATGTCCTACCACAGGCTTGTTGATTCTGAGCTCTGCGTTGGTGCTGTCCCTAACAGCTGGATTTGGGGGTATAAAGGGCAGAGTCATTGCTGGACTAACCAGTATTGGGTAGGGTGAGATCTCAGATGGTATGAGTGGCACCGACTGGGCCTCAGCAGCAGCTTTCATCTCCTGGCTGGTATCTGCAATATTATGGCCTGGTTCTCTCAAATCCAATGCCAACATGGGAACTTGATCTTCAGGAAAAGGTGGCAAGTTAAATTCACTGTCACCCTGTTCTAATGGGACGGAGGTATCTGGAGTCCCTGCTGATGCAGAAGAAGTAGGAACGTATTCCTGGTAAAGTAAATTGCGCAATTTCTCATCAAGGCTTTTTATTGTGTTGTCAACGAAGTCTACCCTGGGTGGTCCCTCTCCATCGGACTCAGCGGTGCTTGGCTGCTGCTGTTGCAACAGGCTGATCCCCACGCTGGCGCAGGCTATGGGCTGTGCCTGGGACAGCATTGCGTGCTGCTGGGATGCAGCCACTGGCACGTGAGTAGGGCTCTGGAGTTGAGACCCTGCCAGACCAAGAGGATCAGATGCAGTGGCTGTAGGGAACGCTTGGTTCACGAAGGGGTGCTGCACCATACCAGTCTGGCTGGCCTCCGACAGGTGAGGGACCTGCGCTGCAGGCTGCCGCTCCAAAACAACGGCGTCTGGGAGCATGGGGAGCGGGCAGATCTCTGCCGGCTTTGTAGGAGCTGCTGGGACTGACTTGTGTGGCCCGACACTGCAACACGCTATCTCCACATCAGGGACACACGAGCCCTCGTCAGCCTGCGGCTGAAGGTGCTGAGGAGCAAGGAGAGCATCAGAAGGCTCCTCCAGCAAGGCGGCATGGGGGGCAGGAGTGCCCGGCTGAGCGGGCATTGCTGCCTTCAGTGGTGAATACTCCAGCTGACTTCCGTTAGCAGCCACATGCTCTAGGATATTTGGAGCAGATCCCAGTAGTGCTGGAGCTGAAAACTCTGCCTGGCTCGGTAAGCCAGCAGAAGATGCTGCAGCAGGAACTTGTGCCAAAGATGGAGAGGCTCCGATGGGGCTGTCACATACACCTGCTTGTAGGGGAAGCTGCTGACCAGCTAAGACAGCAGGCGGATCTGTTACCACAGAGCTTGCTTGCTGATCATCCGACTGCTCCAGGTCTAGAAAGCATACAAACATCAGGTTAACTTTTTATGAGCCACACAGAATGAAAGTCACTGCAAAACTTCCTGGTTAGCTGCACTGATAACATCTAGCCATTAGCCATTAGTGCTTCCCATCAGAAAGTAACAGTTATACAAGTCAAATTAGAACCTAAAATTACACATTATGCAAAAATATTTCACTGAAAAGACACTGCTTATTAAAACAGCAGCAACTAGAACTTCAGTTACCTTATAGCATATGGCGGAGTTAAAATACTCAGACTGTCCTGAAAATCAAATAAACATTCCTAATTTGGTTCAATACCAGAAACACACTTAAAATGCATGACTTAACAAAATTCATTATTTTCTTCCTCCAACTAAATGAAATGAAACAATCACAACTAAGTCAGGTGAGAATAGAAGAGAGATGACACAGCAACTTCAGAGAAGAAAACATTTTCTATAAAGTCTGTAAATACCTGGACCATCAGACTGCTGTGTACTCTGAGGTACCGGTGGAGAAAATTCTGGTGCATCAGTAGTAGGGTTTTCCACAACAGGACATATAATAAACCACCTTTTTCCAGTATGTAAAACTAGAGATGAAAAGAAAATAAAAAGTAAACACAATAGTTTCCATTCATTCCACATAATTTGTCAAAACCTAGTCTTAACTTCCATGTTTAGGAAAGAAAATCAGAACTTCTACAGTATTAGCCAAGATTAAATCAATGGCTTCTAATTTCATTCTCATCCATTCTGGAAGGGAGACAGCAATGCCTCCCAATTCTGCCACATATTTTAAGTTATTTGAAAATTTATTTTCAAATGTTCATACATTTAGAAAGGTAATAGTTATGTACATGAAAATTTTATTAATGTTATTGTGGACAGTTTTCTCACAATGAAAAATTTGTTAATTTGGTAAAGTTTATCCAGCTTTACTTTTCCATGTTGGGAGTTTTCTAGCTAATATTTCCTTCCACATCTTATCTCAAAGCCTGGCATATGCAAATGGAAAACCAGAACTATACACACATTGTCACTTTCATTAGTAGAAATATAAATGTTATATTAAAAAAAGTGTACTGAAAAAATTATATTACCTTTACAGGCAAAAAATAAACCCGATCTTTTGAGCAGAAAGTCTAGTTTGGAGGATTACTCAGTTTCTGCACGTGTCACAGAAGTTCTAAATTATCCTTCTTCCCCTGTCAGCATGGGGCAAATACACAGTGCCACATGCAGTAACAAGAATTTTGGAAACAATGCTTCCTTCAGCAGAGGTTTCATTTTTCCCACCTGCATACACTTACAGAGAGAATCAAGGGCCAATTCCCTTCCTGTTCCATTTGTCTGTAAACCCCATATGACACAACTGTGTTCAGAAGGCCAAGATCCCTCTTGTAATACCAAAGTAGCTGAAAACTTATAGATCAGAAATTTCAATTAAATTACCAATGCAATCATAATATTTTAGCTTTCTCTTGCAAATGTAGTTGTTGTTGTGGAAAGAGTATGCTTGCCTGTACCTTCTTGACTGTTCCACCACTGATTATCAGCTTGTGTAATTCAGGGCTTCCCTAAACATCCCCAGATGTTAGATTCATCCAGGTTAGCCCTTCGAGGTTGCTAACAGCAGGGACCACTGTTATACCCATATTTCTAGATATGTTTCCAACAGCCAGTAACCGGTGCATTTCTTCCCAAATCCAGCAGACTGGATAAGCTGCATAAGCTCATCCTGCTTATTAAGATTAAGTTTGTATTCAGAGGGACATTTACCATTTTGTTGATACATGGGTGTCTTCATTTGTGACTGACGCTTCTCCTGTTAAAAAACAAAACCAGAACAATAGAAGAACTAGCTGCCTTGTATCAATGCAAGAGGAGCATCATTCTAAGGAGCACTCATTGTAAGCCTTAATGGAGTAAAAGCATTACTTTTCTAGCTAAGAATTTTTTTTTTTTAAACACAGGATGTAAAACTAATTTACAGTAACTGGCTGTTAAGAAAAAGGAATCAAACTAGAAATCGTTATTTATCTTTTCTTACCGCGTTCATTTCCAGTCTATCAGTATCTTGTTGGGGACTTGTTCCCTGGTCAGAACTTCGTTCTCCTTCTGTATCTTCACTGAGCATATCTTCTGCTTTATCAATAATATCTTTCATTTGTTCAATAAATGTCTCTTTTTCACTCTGCAATATGAATTCATTCTCTACCTATAAGGCCACATCATAATAAAGAGGAAAACAGTAATGTTTCAATTAATGCCCCATTCCACAGCTACCAGAAAGCTTGGTCGACAAGCACACATGAGAATAAGTTGGCTGAAGCAACTTGGTGCATTAAAAGACTGCAGGCAGCCACATCACCACGTCTTACCATGTAAGTAGCAATTTCCTCTGGCGCATCACCATCCAAATCAAACTTAAAAGTCACCATTTTGTGATTGTGTGTTTCAAGCTGGCACTCCACCATCTTATCCCCTGTGTTACAAACCTGCAGGCAAAGATTAACAAGAGTTATTTCTGGCACAGCCAAAGGAATCTTAAAGTTACCCTGAAAGAGATTGTACTTGCATTTAATATGGTCAGCTTTGGTCTGCTGGACTTCTCCTGGCGTGAACGAGTGCGTGTAGATTTCTTATGTTTCTTTGAAGACTTTCCTTCTTGTTTTCCACTTCCTATTGCTCCTTCAAAGCTGTCACTCATCTCTTTACCCGAAGCAACATCTGGACTCATGTAGCTTTGTAAGAGAAAGGAAGAAAAACCCCAAAATAAAACCACCATCACACACGATGCAGTTATGCATAGGTAAGATATGCAACAGAGACTGCAAAAAAAAGTGCACATCTGCACTCTTTTGGCCCAAACTGAGCCCACTACTGAAAGATGCTCAGTACCTGAAGGGACTACTCCAAGTCAGGCATGTTCTCTGGCTATCACACCTAATAAGATCTATTAACACTTCTGCCAATACCATAGGGAAAGTCACATCACTGTTAATATACCACAACATCCCCCTAATCCCTTCATGTCAGGGATCCTTACAGTCCCTCTCTGAACTGCACAATTTCCTGTTTTTCTAAGGTCCAGTTTTCTCAACTCCTGCCTATCTGCACTCACAGCAGAAGGTCTAAACAGGGTCAGTTTATGTTTGTTGGAGATGAAGGAAAGGAGTGAGAAGTCACTACAGCATCCCGTAAGAGACTGCCTCTCCTCTCTGCAGTTCTCAAGAACCAGAAAGAAGGTTTTATGCCACAATATCCCAGATGACCAGCTAGCAACAGTATATTATTTTTAGCAGCCAAAACAGGAGCTAACAACCTTACTGTAATATGACATGTACAGAAAACATCAACATGCAAGTAATTTGCAGGAAATTTTCAGAGGTTCATAAAAAACATGTCAGGAAGGAACCTTGTAAGGCCATCTGGCCTATTTATTACCCCAAGGTATGGTCAGCTCTGTCTAAACCAGTCCTAACAGAGGTTTGTGTAAACTGATCTTACAAAGCTCCCATGAGATTTCGTAACATGCCTGGGCAATTTATTCCTGTGTTCATTTAACCATACAGGCATAAAAGAATTTAAGTCTAACCTATGAATCTCTTGCTTAAATTTAAGGCCTTTACTTCTTGTTCTGCACTAGTTGCACAGAACAGCTTATTTCTACTCCCTTTGCAGCTACCTTGTGTGTGTAACTCATATGTTAGGAAAGTGAACACATTATGTGTGATACACTCTATATCACATCTTTGCTGCAATTGCCAGCCGTTTGATTCATGTGCCATTACCCTCCACTCTACAAAAGCGCAACCCAACTCCAGTTATGTATGCACCTGGAAAGAAGAGACCTCCCTCTACAACTACAAGACATGTGCTGACACAGACTCTCTGTGCTGCTGCAGTCAGGACAGTCAGCTTCTCAAACACAATTCTGGAACAGTCAAATTAGAATTCAATAGATGACTGAAAATTTGATGTGCCTTTCTACAATGGATTAGATAGACAAAATGAACTAATTTTGTGTAACTTATAGCCAGAACTAACCTACAGTCACAAAAAATAAGATTTCACTTTCCATGCAGTATTTAAAAGCAGCTAATTCTTGGGAAAAAAAGTTCCATTTTAAGGTTGTGGGGTTGCATTGACTTGTGTCAGGCTAACTTTTTTGGTGGGGTAGAATGAAAACAGTAAGAGAGAGGCGTCTTCAAAGTTCATAAACTTAACTCGTCTATTCAGGAAAATAGAAAAGGGTCACTAAAATCCTAACCCCAAAGCTTTATAATCAATAAGGATGAAGTTGGTGCTGGCTCCTGCAATAGGCAAGGCATTCAGCTGCTTATGAACACACACTGTTTGTATCTACCAGTATCCACTGAAAAACCTGGCTTACTGCTGGTGCCGAAGCAGGAGCTGTAGCACGGGAGCAGCAGATGCCTGGGGGGGGCAGTCCTGCCCCCGAAGCAGCATCCACTGCCCCCAGTCAGCCCCTCTCCAGTCCAGCAACGAGCCTTCCTCTCCAGGGCTCTTCCTCGCTGCTTCCTCCAAACCTTGCTGCTTTCCCTTCTGCTTCTGTGTACAGAAACAGGCAGATGAGGTCTGGCAAAAATTGAAATTTGCTTTCATTACTGAGAAGTGCTGAGTTGGCTCTGGGGGTTATTTATTGTTAGTTCTGTAATTAGCATTACTAAGCTTGAGTGTAACCTCATGCACTGCAAAACCACAGAATGGGCTTTGGCTGTGTGTTCTAACACTTGTTGTAACGATACCCTTGAACGGCTCAACACACAGCTCTCACCAATACACCATTCCCCGTAACATACCTGGGGAAAGATCACTACAGAAGGTGATACAGTCATATCCAGTCCAAAGAGGGAATAAACTATAAACCAAATTATACATATATACTATACTATACATGTCTTTATACAGATTCAACAGCATCCAAACCAGGGACTGTACCACTGCAGTTATCTTAACACAAAGAGGTTACATGCTGAAATGAAAGCTGTTGTACATACATCAAAGCTAGGATATGGCACCCAAACTAAAGAATTGAAGGAGTTGGATGAGCTAAAATAGGCACACTGCACACAGAATATCTGCAGCTTTCTCCCTAGACTTGCACCTTTCCATCTTCTCCTGGTCAGCTCCTGCTGACAGCCTCCAGAAAGAAAACATTCCTTATGTCAAAGAGATCATAATGATACCTTTCACAGCTCTGTGACAGAGTTTGAAGTTTGTCCTGTATTGCCTGCTCCTAAAACGTAAGAAAAAGTCATTTAAGTAAATGCATTACATTGGCAGATGAAAAACACCTTTAAGAAAGCTTTGCTGTTGAGACACCAGTAATCCTAAACCATTCTGTTTAAACAATTCTTGGAACTTGGAAAAAAATAAATGTCCCATTGTACCCTCCCAACATTACTTCTGTCCAAAGCATCAATATTTGTGTACAACCACTTTTTAAGACAGAGCCACTAATCTGCTAGTCCCCTTCTGCTGTCTCTGAAGCAGAAGAGGTGGTGAAAGAAACAAGACAGTTCTCATCACAATGGAAAAACTTGATTGCAGGACAAATCCACATCAGCACCTACATAATTTTTTTTAATCGATATAAAGTATAAGCTAATTTGCTTCATTTGTATAGTTTCTTGAAATATGTTAAGTATTTTCATTGTATTTGGCTTATTGTGAAAATTTCTGCGGAGCTTACAAATAAAAGATGACAATTCATCATGTAAAAACGCTGCCCTCATATGTCCTCTTGCTCTCTACATAATAGAAATTTTCCCTAGAAGCTTCCCTCTTCACTGGTTGCAATGCTAGGATAGACATCGATAGGTGACTTTTGCATCAGGTAGACCTGTTTTCAGAGAATTTGTGATGATGATGCTACTGGCCCTGCTGCAACAAACTTAACATATATGTACATAGACAAACACACACACCTGTGTATGTATATAACTCTATGTATATACACACACCCCAAATATATTCATAAATATATATAATTTTTA